TCACAGTAATTTAAAACATATTATAATTGTACAATCAAGTCCATAATTACTCACTAAACATGAGCTTGATAGAGTCACATAGTGAGTAAATAACTGCTTTATGGTCTTAAGTTGTTGCATATGACTTATACATTTTTTAAGGCCTCTTTTAGTAAATTGTGGCCATACCTGGTACCCAACTTCCATTGGGCCACCCAGGATAATGGGGTTTAAAGCAAATAAATGATCCATAAAAGATGAATGAAGGGCTGGGAAACACTCCAAGTACCTCAACAACTAACACAAAAGAGATTATTTTATATGTTCTGGAACATTATATTATAAAGAAGTGTTTTCACCCTGCTCCCACTGTGTGTGCACACACACTCTCTCACACACACACACATAGTGACTGTCTTTCTATAGATACAATCTTGCACATGCCTACATCATGGAGAGCTGAGGAGGCTGCTCCCTCTAATCCTGCAGTGGGCCCCAGGTCTGGCTCCTCTTGTCCGTCTCTCTTCTGCAGTTCCACTTGGAACCCCCAGCACTCTACATCAGTTTGAAAACTTCCAGAAAGTCCTACTCTGCTTTTCTCTATACACATGCACGACATTCTAAGGGTAGATGAATCTAACATGTGATAGGAGGAATGTTAGCTATGACAAAGAACTTCAATAAAACACTGGACTGCAGCCCTGAGCGGATTTCCAGTGGCTTCTAATTCTGCATAATAGGAAGGACAAAAAGCACTTTCTTTATGGCACTGGTTGTTGGGCCTCGGCCTCTTTCAGACGCTCAGTCCCTCCACCAGGCACTGTGCTGTCACATTGTCCTGGCTGATCCTGTCCCTACTGGCCACAGCCCATTATCAAACAACTGAAATGCAAATTGACATGTGCTGTCAGAGTAATATACGCACTAGATTTTGAAGATTTGAAATAGTATAAATGTTGCATTTATGATGTTTTATATTGAATGTACCATATCTTTGACATAGTTACATAATAATATATGACTAGAATAAATTTTACTTGTTGCTTTCTATTGTTTTTAAATGTGACCAACAGAAAATTTAAATCCCATGTATACCTTGTGTCTGCGACTGGCCTTATATTCTATTAAACTGTGCAGCTCTCTCCTATGGGTCACGAAGTCAAAGAGCCACAGAGACCAGTCAGTAACACAGATGATGCCTCTGAGATGTCCTTGGGCACTGGTGGGACCACGAAGTGCTAAAGCATGTGCCCATCTGAGGAGGCGGAGCCCTCAGCACCACCCCATTATGGCGAGGCAAGAATGTGGTCCAGCTGTCTCTTGGACCTCCTAAGGTTTTAGAGAGACTTTGGAAATCTGGATTGTAAATGCGTGTGGGGAGTATGGATTCATATGTGCACATGAATTTTCCAAACTTCTAAGTGTTGGAAATTACTCCACAATTTTAAAAACTAAGGTAGCACAACAACACTGTTTAGGCCAAACATAACGTGTCAGGAGCCAACCCTGGCCAGAGGATGGTGGTATGTAGGACGCTCCGTCTCTGCCAGGGCCAGCCTACCGTGATTTCCTCCTCCCCAGCCATGAGGCCTCCAGACGGGCTGTCTGTTTTTTTTTTTTAACCAAGGATTGAATCCAGGGGTGCTTTACCACTGAGCCACATCCCCAGCTCTTTTCTTAAAAAAAAAAAAAAATATATATATATATATATATATATAAAATTTAGAGTCAGGGTCTTGTTGAGTTGCTTGGGACCTTACTAAGTTGCTGAGGCTGGCTTTAAACTTATGATCCTTCTGCCTCAGCCTCCTGAGCCGCTGGGATTGTGTGCCACTGTACCTGGCCAGACGGGCTGTCTTGTATCTTTGCCTACCGGTACCACAGCTGAGGCATCTACAGACACCAAATAAGCATGGTCCTGTAGATAAATGGATGCATGGGTTCTGAAATCTTCTCTCCCGGAGGTTCTTAAAGGGGAACTGCTTTCCTCTCTTTCCAAAGGCTGATCTGAGGTCCCATCTTAGAGAGAGAGTGAAGATCAGCTACTTCACCTCCCACGTCTCATTTGAGCTACCACTTTGGCAAAACATCCATGTCTTATAGATGAAAAGAATTCTGAGGGTCCCCTGTGTGCTTGTGCCGAGAGTTTAAAAAAATACATTGACACGGAAACGCTAGAACATCATTTTAAATGAGGCCTGAATTTTACCCTCGTGCCACGGAATCTGGAGGGACATTCACACTCTTCCTTCTCACGGGGAAGGGCCAGGCCCAGTGGGAGGACCACGTGCCTTGGGGTTGGGGGAGGGAATGTATCAGTGTCACAGTCCAAGTGGCCAGGCTGGGACCAGGTCAATGTAGGCCGGCCCCACAGCCAGGGCTCCTTCAGGACACCAGGCAGAGTTGGACACTGTGCTGAAACCTAACAGCCTGAGTCATCGGAGAAGAGTGAGAAGGGGTAGAATCATGAAACCATACCCTTTGCCATGTCCCACTTTTTAATGGATCCAACATTGTAGAAATACTTGAGGCTTATTTTCTCCAGGCACTTTTCGTCTGTCGATTTAGAATATAGTGACTATGCTTTTACCCTGAAGGATAAACTGCCCTTTCTGAGCTCTGCAGGACAAACTGTCCCGGATCCAGGGTGGCCACTTGTTGCAGAGAAGAGGACCTGACCCAGGAGTGTGGGTGGGGGGCAGTGGAAGGAGAGACAGGGCCCGCGGGGACATCTCCTGAGACCCATGGGGCATCTCCACTTGTGTGCAGCCACTTTAGGACTTGCTTCCTGTCCTGATGCCTGTCCCTGAGAGGCTCTCATGTCATCAAGGAAGACCACGGAAGTCATCAAGAATGCTTCCAAATGGGGCAGTGACAGAGGGCCTTGCCATGCCTCAGCAGGACACAGGCGAGCCTGTCCCCAGTGCCTGGTTGCACCGTCCTTGCACTCTCCTTCCCGCCACTGGCAGTGCTGTCCACAGCTCTTCCTCTGCACTGTCCTTCTTCCTCTGAGCACCCTGAGTGCCCTCACCTCTGCCCCGGCCTGCCTCCTGCCTTGAGTTGGTGCCTGGGCCCCATGAGCCCCTCTGTGCAGACTGCTCACCATGAGCCTCACACACCTGTGGGCATAAGCGTCTCTTCCAGTGGAACTCGGCGTCCCTTCAGCAGCTGCCATACAGTGGCAAGTGGAGAGAAGGCACCAGCAATTCCAAGAGCCCTGATGCATTCCAGCCACAAGCTCCCTGTGTCCATGGTCCCCTCCCCCAGTGCTCCTTGAGCCCTGTGACAGATGGTGGCCCCTGTCTGCAGATGAAACAAGGGCAGATGCTGGTGTGGACCTTCCTTCTCCAGCCAGCATTGGCCAAGAGGGCACAGGCAAATAAATACACCCTGCGCCTGCCACATGCTGCTGTTTCATGGCCCCTGAAGTGTCACTTTGCTCCAAGCTGAGCTGGCATCTTTCCCACCTGCAGAATTCCCCATGGTCCCAGTGTGCATAATGCCAGTGCCCTTCCTGTGGTCTCCAGGCTCCTCCTGGATGGGCCCGTCTGTGAGGTGTGCCGTGGCCCGTCTCCTCCTGCCCATGGGATCCGGAGCCGGTCTAGAGTCGTCTCCTGCTTTCTGCTTCCTCTGTGGAGCTCCCTGCCTACTCCAATTCCTCCTTACCTCTCCCTCCTTCCTGCAGGGCTCCTCCTTCTCCTCCGTCCTGGGCTATTAAATGAGAGGATTGTGCCACAGCCCAGGGCTAAGACTCTACCCCTGCAACCACTGAGGGCTCACAGCCGGGACTCCTGCCCAGGAAGGACCAGGTCCTGTGTGATCCAACACTTAGGGCTGAAGGACCTCAGAGGTCTATTGAGACCTTGAGCTCCTTGTCCTGGGCTTCTGCTACTGGCATGGTGGGGAAAAGTGCCACTGATTTGGTGGAAGTCCTCGCCACCTGGGAGCTACAGACTGTGCATGTGCTGGTGGCCACTCTGCAGATGCATTTGTGGGGAGCTTCTGGCTGGCTGCACAGAACAGAGGCTCTGAACACTGGCTTGTGACTGCTGGACACAAATCACACTCAGCTGGGCTCTAACTCTTCTGTGTGGGGCACCAGGACCTGGTCTCCTTGCTTCATCGTTTTTAACCTTTTTATCAGATGTCTTTGAGGCTGTGCCACGCACCCTGGTGAGCCTGGCGGAAGGATATTAGTGTAGAGTTGAAGCAACCAGCCTCCCTGGCAAGGTGATGACAGGTCCAAGGAGATGTCCTGTCCATTAAATAAACCGAGTCAATAACCACAGAGACAGACCAGGAAGGACTCACATGTCCACAGTGCAGCATGTGAGTTCTGGGGCAGATCACGCAGGCCTGTACATCAAGGTGAGGAGGGTGGGAACCTGCATTAATGTCCTAGGTGGTGATATGAAAGAAAACTATTAAAAATGTGGGTGGGTAAAAGCACTAAATTGCATCCATAACATGATTGACATCTCCTCTCCAGAAACACTGTGTACGCCCCGTCCAACACCTTTCCCAACAGTCACAATGTTGGGTGGGAAGCAGCGTGACAGGTGGGAAGGCAGCCCACACTGCCATGGGCCACCTCCTTCCCTGCACACAGGCTCATGAAGAGGATGCCATAGAACACTGAGGTCACTCAGGCCTTCTTAGAAGTGATTTATCCAGCACTTGACACCCACTCTGTGCACAATCCTGAAGGAGGGTCATCCTGGCCAAGGTCACCAAGTGAAAGTCATGTCTACACTGGCTCCATGAGACTCCTTCCACACTGTGGGAGGGGAAGGGAGACTGTCTGCATTAGCTCAGAGCAGATGAATGCTCCGAACTGGCTCAAGGCTAGTGAGCATCTATTCTTGTTCACGGCCACGGAGTCCCTATCTACACTAAAGAAGGAGGCACAGAGGTCCAGGCCTGGGAGAGGATGGCTGGTGGGACCCTGCGCTCAGCCTGAGGCCCCACCTTTCTTCTAATCAGCCTACATTTTAGTATTTGGAACAAATGCTATGATCCAATTTGTCTGAAACCAATTTATTAAGAAATATCTGAGAAGAATGGGGGAGAGGAGAGAGGGGCAGGGTGGAGTGTCCCAGCAGGGCGAAGTGTCCCAGGCAGAACAGTCTCTGAGGTCTTCCGCAGGTGGGGGCAGAGGAGAGATGGCCGGCCGCTGGCGCTGTCTGTCTGGCTGGCTCTCCACTTCCTTGGAGGCAGGCCGTCTATGGGTGTGGCACGTCTCTTCTCTATGACATTGGAGCCACTTTATCGCTGACACGTGGCACACAGCAGCAGCACAGGGCTCGCACACAGGCAGCGATCCTGCTCCTCACCCGTTTCCAGCCATTGGTGTGGCCAGGGCCTTGCCTCGGGGCTGTGTCCTGGGAGGAGGAGCTGCTCTGTGCCCTGGGCCACCAGGCGAGGACCCTGGAGGGCTTGAGCCTGGAGAAGCCAGAGTCAGACTGGGAGCAGCTGCGGAGAGTGGGGGCCCCTGCAGGCGGGCAGCGCAGAGGAATGGCAGGCAGGCTGCCAGCCCTGATGCCCCTGTGCCCTGGCTGTTGGGCGTCCTCGGGCAGCGGGTTCTCAGAGCGCAAGGGGGAGGTGCGCAGGGCAGGCTGGCTGGCGCTCCTCTGTGGGAGGACAGGGACATGGGAGAGATTCTCGGGGCGCTGGCGAGGCCTAAGCCACTGAGGCACAGGCTGCCCCTGGAAGGCGCTCCCTACCCCCTGGCCTTGCTGGTGCTTCAGGATGAGGTACGTCGCCATCACCGCATCAAACTTCCTCTTGGCCAGAGACACCCAGGTTTGGTAGGGATCAAAACCCATGTCGAACAGCATGGTCAGGATGGCGGGGTCTGGGCGTGTGGGGAGGGCCTGGCTGGAAGGATGGGGTGCACACGGCTCACCCTGCCGCAGCCATGGGTGCTGCAGGATCTGCTTCACTGTGGGTCGCTTCTTGGGTTTCAAGACGAGGATCTGGCGGATGAGCCTTCGTGCTTTGACGGGAACAGAGCTGGGCACCTGGAACCTTGCCAGAAGGATCCTCATCAGCATCTCCTGAGGGGTGTCCCCCCTGAATGGGAGGCTCCCCGTCAACATAAAATAGAGAGTGACGCCCAGGCTCCAGATGTCCGCTGAGGGGCCCTCATACTCTTGCTCCAGGACAATTTCTGGGGCAATGTAAGCCAGAGTACCCCATAAGTCATTCAGCTTCTGCCCGGCCGTGAACCTGGCACTGAGGCCGAAGTCAATGAGTTTCACGTGTCCTCTGGCATCCAGCATGATGTTCGCTGGCTTCAGGTCTCTGTGCATGATGCCCTTGTCGTGGCAGTGGCCCAGGGCACACACGATCTGCCTGAAGAGTCTGCGGGCCTCCTCCTGCGGCATGCCACCACGTGGGATGCGCTCAAGTAGCTGTCCCCCACCTGCATGCTCCATCACCATGTACAGGTTTTCCCTGGTCCTGATCACCTGGAAGAGCTGGATCACGTTGGGGTGCTCCAGGCTCTCCAACATTAGAGGTTCGGAGAGGTCCGACATGTCCTCTGTCTCCGTCTTCAGGACTTTCACTGCCACCTCTGCCCCCGTGAGGCGATGGCGGGCCAGGTGGACCTGGCCAAACTCGCCATGCCCAATGGCCCTCAGGACCTCATACTGGTCCAGGAAGCCTGGCTCCTGGCAGGAGCCCGGCCCCAGCAACGCTACTCTAGACTGACTACTCTTGCTAACCATGGACATCCTGAGCAGGAACACCCACCCTCTAAGGATGCTGGCTGAAAAAAAAAATAACAAACCAAAACAACAAATCCAAATCAAAAACCAAAACCAGACAAAACAAAAAACCCAAATCAAAAAACCAATATCCACAGACCACAACCACCAACCGCCAACCACCAAACGCACTAACTACCTGGGAGTCCGACAGGTCACCACCAAGAGCTTCCTGTACTAGTGGACAAAGCCCAGCCTCAGCCGCCCCCTTATATACCGGCTGCTTGAGATTCCTCACAATGGCCCCTTGTGAGGTCAGAGGTAGAAATGGCCCCGTCATGGCTGGACACAGCCCCAGTGGACGTCTCCCTCTGGGGCCTCCAGAACTTTTTCCATTTCAGAATAAGAACAGAAAAGGACTCCAGATGTTTTTTACTTCATTGGGGTGTGGAGACTGATGTTTGCTTGTTTAGAAATCAACATTTGCACACTAGTGCAATGGACTTGTCACTTCAAGTCTCCACATTTCTACTGACTTTGGGCTTTGGAAGACCTTGTCCTATCTGCACTCAAGGAATTCAATTCCTTTCTCTAGAAAGAGTTGCCATCAAAAGTGTGGTAACCCCTCATCCACTTTCTGATACTACAGCTTCGTTCCTGCAGGAAGAGTTGGGGGCCTCCAGTGGTCATCTCTGTTTCTCTATTTTATGTTGACAGAGAGCTGCCCATTCAGGGGACCACCTCTCAGGTGATGATGATGGGGACCATTCTCAGAAGGTGCCACGTAGAGCACAGTCTTTATACCTATGGAGTTAAGAGGGAGGAAGATGTCGTCATCATTTCCCCATAAGACGCTCATCAGATTTCTCCTTAGAAGCTCTGGAAGGCAAGCCACTTGTCCCTTGTATTTCTGTACTAACCTGAGTAATTTTTACCTTTGAAAATGTTGCACTTTCTAAATAACAGTAACAAATATAATGGAAAACTCCTAAGTACTTAATGCCAGTATGTGGAATTCAGCTAAAATGCCCAAAGAAAGTAAGGTGTGCACAAAAGAAAAGAAGTTAAATGGCTCTGTGGGACAGGGGCTTCAACTCCGAGCTCTGTATTTGCTCAGCTCTTCCGGGATGGCAGTGGGTCCATGTGACCCCACGTCTTTGGTGGCGTATTGGCTGCTCTTGGCCAGGATCGTTGCCCTGTGCACTTCCCCTTCCCCTTGGTCACACTCCACCTCAAGTCCATTTGCTACATTGTTGCCAGCTTCCTGATACAGTAACAGCTTTCAGGAACAGTCCTCACCAGGCCAGGCACAGGGCTCCTAGGACACAGGGATCTCTGGAACATAAATGGGTCCTCCAATGCCTGACCAGCATGCACATGGGCAGTGCAGGAGAAACAAGTTGTGGAATGTGTGGAATCAGACTCCATAGGAAGTCCTTCCAACATCAGGCATGAAAGTGCAAGCAGAAGGTTTGTTCCTCATCAATGCCTATTGGAAGTTCTAGTTCTTTTTTTACTGGGAATACATTCCATAATACAGTCCTTAGAACTACAAATATGTTTTATAGCTTTGCACTTCTCTGATGGGAAACACGCAAAATAGGATTTCTTAGAATGTCTGTGTTTGCAGGGCACAAATTTGGAACAGTCCTACAGAAAGTCAGCCTGTGTCTAACAGTCCCTGCCTGAGGGGAGCCGGGCAGAGGCGTCCTCATTCTCCATAACATCCCGAGCAGCATCGCCAGACACAGGTGGTCATGTAAAGGAGACTTTTCTAACCTCTCAGAAAGCAGGACAGCAAACCATTTGTGCCCAAGGGAAGACTTAAGTGTCTTTTGATTTTCTCTATAGAAAATATCATAAATTTTTTTGCCATGTGAAAAGGAAATCAGATTTATGACCAAGAAGTGGGAAAAAGATATTGAATCAGGCAGCTAATTAATAAAAATAGTGCAATATTTTTCTAGATCTTAAGACAATTTGTATTTAACAGCTTTTTTTAAGTGTGTAACATACTGTGGCTTCTTTTTTCCTTTCAAATTAATACTTTCACTTTTATATCTAATTTTATATTAAAAAATTAATGCTCTTTCCTTAAAGTGGAAAAACCTCTCCCAACGTGTACAAGCTGCAGGCCCTCTAAAAGCAAATCCATCCTGACCCTTGAAAGAAGAGAATGGTATTTAAGAGAAAAACGAAAAAAACCTACTGTCAGTCAGGTTTTCATTGCTGTGACCAAAATACCTGACAAGAACAACTTAGAGGAGGAAAATTTATTTGGGCTCATGGTTTCAGAGATTTAGTCCCCAGTGGGCTGACTCCATTACTCCAAGACCAAGGGAGGCCTGGTCGATTGATTCTTCCTAGAATACCGTGGCGGAAGAGCATGGTGGAGGGGCTCTGCTCTAGCAGCCAGGAAGCAGAGACAGAGGAAGGGCAAGGGCTTCAGGGCAGATGCAACCCTCCAGGGAATTGATAGACCCAAACTGATCTTTTATTAAATTGGGAGCCATCTTGCCACAAAGCCATGAAAAGCTAATTTTGGCTTTACTGTAAATTACTGCAAACTCTGAACCTGCTTGGAATGCCTGCCCGTACCTTGAACTCACCCATGCCTGGCCCTCTGACCAGATAGCAGCCCTCTCTGAAACTTTAGTGACACCTCATAAATATTGGCCTTCCCTGGCCAGACAACGACCCTCTCTGAGGCTCTAATGGTCTTCATAAATTCTGATGTTGGGGCCAGCAAAAAATGTAAACTACCATTAGTGTGATGCTTGTCAGAGTTCTGTTATCTGTAACCCCCCCTTTGTGTAACTTTCTGGGCTATAAAGCTGGGCTGTAGGAAAGGTGGGGCTGCTGTCTTGTTCCCACCGTTTGGGGAGGAAAAGGCAGTCCGGCCGGTCGAAATAATAAGCTTGCTTTAATTTGATTTTAATTGAAGTCAGTGGTCTTTTCTTGCGTCCCGGTCTAACATTTTGGAGGCCCCAGCGAGATGACCCTGCCCGACCAGACCACAAGACCAGACTGCTGGAAATTCTGAAGCCGGCCTTCGCTCCAGGGCTCCGGGCTGGAGAGCCACTCTAGGGGGTGCGCAACTTGAGACGTTCCAAGGCCTTGGGGTGAGCCTTCAGTCCCCGGAACCCTGCAGTGAATTGCCGCACTAAAACTATTAGCAAGCACCTGGTGGAGGAGGCCTCCATAGGTAAGTGGCGCCTTTATAACATCTGGTATCCGGTTAAGGGAGATCTCTTCTGATGACAGAGAGGTGGCCTGGCGAGGCTCACATATACTCCTGTCCGGACAGTAACGAGAAATCGTTCTGTCTTCTGTTCTGTTCTGTAGGGAATTCCTCTGGAAGGGCAGAGAGGTGCCGACGGGCACGCACGCACTCCTACCCCGGAGCTTTGGCAAGACGTTGCATTGCTCCTCTGTTTTTCTGTTTGGGCGCCGGGTTTCTGTTTTCTTGTGTTTTGTTCTGTGTTCTATATGCTTTTTGTTTGTTTGTTTTTGTGCGTTTTGTTGTGTGATTTCAGTGGTAAAAACTTAAGGATATTGGACGTGAAAATGGGTAATAAAGCAAGTCAGCCTGACACCCCTTTGGACTGTGTTTTAAGGAACTGTGATGAACTGTACCCCCCTTTGTTAAGCAGGAGGAGAGAAGCCCCTAGCTGGCTGCTGGAGCACCTCCACTGCAGGAGGGCAATGCCTGCTGGGGATCTAAGAACTGAGCATCTCCCAGGTTAACAAGTGAGACTCCTTCAAAACCCCTTGTCCCTCCAGATCAAGAGAGTCACAACCTTTGGGCAGAGTCCCCGGTGTTTCTCCTTTGTTAGCAAAGCAATAAAACTCCCTTTTTCTTTTTCTCAAAACCCTGTCCTCATTATTAAATTGGCATTAATTGGCTCTAAGGTCAGGAACCAAACTTTCAGTTACAAATTTTGATACCCCCCCACCCCCAGAACTTTTTGAGAACTGACTACTGAAATGTTAGGAGATGGAATGTGCTTGGGGTGGAATCCTGTAAGTAAAAGGAGGGACTGAGGGACTCCCAGCAGCTGCCGACGCCCTGTTGCTTCGGGGAATTCCTGCCTTCCTTCCCTGCACTGTAAGGATTATGCCACCTCTGTCTTCTTGAAAAGAGAAAAAGAAAAGGGAGACACTTAATGCAGTAAAGTCGCCATGGAGACCCTTGATTTTACATTTCAGGCTGCCCCTCTGTGAAAACATCTGGTCCCCTTGTGGGGACATCTATGGTGCCACTGGTGTAGGAGATTTTTCTCTTATCTGCTCTGTTTTAAAAGGTTTCTGTCTGTCAGCCATAGTCTGGAGCTCCTCTCTGTCTGTCCTGTGTCTTTG